GTCGAGGCCATCTCAATTTGTGTTTCCACAGAAGCCTGCTGTCGTGGGACTCCCACTTTTCAGAACAGAAGCATGCTTTTTACCCCAGCTCCAACATCCAACATGTTCTTAATGGTCTTACAGATCAGGTCTCAGTTGTCATACTAAAATAACAGTCTAAATTTGGACCTGTTTGGGTCAAAATGGTTTAAGGATAACATTGTGCAGGTTACAGGCTTCTGCCTGTGGCTCTGGCACCACAAAAAGCAGTGACAGTGCTTAGTGTCAAGATGCACTGGCAATGAGAGCAGCTCAGAACTGAAGTAAACCCTGAATTCAGAATATCAAAGCATTGAACAGCATTATAAAATACTAGCAGAGAAAGTGGGCAGATGAAAAGGAAAGGAAATATAAAAAATAAGAGGAGAAGATATGGAGAAACAAAAATAGTTGAGAATTTATAGGGGAGTTAAAAGGTACTGATCTGTATTTTTGGAGCCTATTCATGTGTGTGTACAAGGGCATGCATGTGCATGTTACCCCAGCACATGCCCATAGGAACTGCTGCTGGACAACAAATAAGAAAAGGAAATGTGGGAGGAGATGAGGAATAGAAGAGGAAAGTGGTTTATAATAAGGAAGCCTGGTATTTTTTGTCTTTGAAGACTGGACTTGCATGAAATCTTACACATGGAAGAATTGATTGTTTTGAAAATAAATGCAAAGATTCACTCCTGGGTAGAACTATTTCAAAGCAGTAAAACAGCGGGTTCTAAAAATGCTTTTGAACAGTTACAGTGAAAAACTCTTAATGGCAGCACAAATAAGGTAGTGTTAATGAATTCAGTCCTTGCTGGTAAAATACTGCCGTGCTTTTTAAGTCAAAATTTCAAACTGTTCTTGTTTGTTTGCTAGGAGTTCATCTCCCTTTTTTACTTGCTTTTAATCGAATGGGATTTTGGTTCTGCCTGTCATTTTGAAGAAGCCTGGAAAAGAGGGAAGAGCCCCTGTGAGAAATTAATTTAACAACCAAATGCTGTCCCTGAGAAACCAGAGCAGTTCCTCTGTGCCAGGGGGGACCAGAACAGAATGAAGGGAGTGAGAAGGGAGTGAGAAGGGAGGGTCTGTATGCTCAGCTCTTGCCCAGCTCCCTTTTGGTCTTTATAGGTCATTGGCAAAACTTTTGTAAAATGTTCTGAAATTTTAGAGATTTGAAAGAGGCTTGTCCACAAGTGTCATGAGGAGCTCAGGGTAGTGGAAGCTTTTAGCTGTCCCTTATTTCACTTACGTGCCTAAGGAAAAGCTGTCACTTTGTAAAAATCTGGCATCAGTGCCAAGCAGTCAGGTTCTGGTTTATCTCCTATGTTCCATCCAGGTTTCCCCTTAGAAAAATGGAAACAAAATCCTATACTTGGAGTATTGTTCCCACACATGAAGTTTCAGTTTGAAGTGAATTAAAATCACCAGTGGATCTGTTCAACACTAGTAAGGCTCTGCCTCAGTTGCCAGAAGCCTTTTTTTATGCTGGGGGAAAATTTGTGATACCTTTTATTGGTTTCTCTAGTAAAAAGATTTTCTCCTAAACCCAGTCTCCAGGAGTACAAAAGTCACCCTGTCTGCTCCCAAGGATGAACCCTACAGAAAAAGGCCACTCATTCAGACATCTGTTTAATCCACATCCAGCAGATTGTTTCCTTACCAGGAGATACCAGTTTTGGAAGAATTTGATTTCAGGATTCAAAGCAGTTCTGAAGACCACTTGGGCTTGACCTTCAAATGCCTTAGATAGATACAAGCCTTGAAAATGACCCTCTGTGCCCTGGGAACTTTGGTAGGGAAAAAAAATAACCACCCGGGGGGTACAGTCTTAAATACGCTGCTGAGTCAATGAATTGCAGTGCTCTAAATCAGCTGAAGATTCAGTTAACCATGAATAAGTTTCCTTAAGGTAGGAAAATATAATAGTACTAAGGCTTATAGTTAGTGAAGCTGATGTTAAATATATGCACGTGCCTGTACAATGGGAAAGGAAAAGAGAAGGAAGACATTATTTGTAATCCAGTGTCTGCCGCATGGGAGTAGCAAGGAGCTGAGGAGACACATTCAGGAGCAGAACATGGATTCTGCAGCATTGCTCAGAATCCCAGCACCACCATGCACCCAGTGCCACATGAACATGCCAGTGCACCCCATGAGGCTGCCAGGAACCTGATGGGGAAAACAGCTGGAGCAGCTAGAAAGCTCATCCAGCTCTCATTGGCAGCATTTTCAGCATTGCAAACGATTGTAACCTGAACTTGCACCATTGATGCTTCAATGGAAAATGTCCAGAAACATAGAGAGACTTTGCAAGACCTTCCCGGCAGCACTGGGGTAGAATATGTATCTAGAATATAGATAAGTGTGATTTTTGTCCCACCTACAGCTGATCCCAACATCATGCAGGCAAACATCCTTAATGAGAGATAAGGACAATAAATTTTGTGCCTTTGTGTAGGCAGTGGCATTTTGGTATTGGGGGCAAAATGCTTCACAGAAGTCAAGACGCTCTTTTATCTTTTCATACGTCTTCACAATTTCATTTCAAAATATGGAATTTTTGTGAGCTGTCTGTGTTTCCCACTGCAAACCTGAACAGTTACTGTGGCTCATGTATCATGTATATGCTTGCAGATCACACCGTGTTCTGAGATCTGCTTTCACAGCATTCAGAATGTGCAGCTGCAAATGGAAATGTAGGAGGGGTCAGCACTGAGGGGTTTGCATTTAGCATCAACTACTGGGATCCCAAAACTAGAAATGAGCCAGAGGAAACCAGCAGTGCTCTGCTTTGCATATGCTTATGGCCCAGGAGCAATTCCAAGGACCCAGGTCTGATTTCCCAATTCTGCACACACACTCCTGCAATTTTTTTCAATATTGGCACCAAGAAATATGTAGGCATCTGAGGGCTGGGTTCAGATCTGAAATTAATATTTACTTCTGTCAATTAGGAGTAGACAAGTGCTCTGTGATCATCACCTTAAAAAAAACCCAGAGCTTTATCTGTAGCGTCGAAAAATTGTGTTTGAACAGAACAGTCACGAGATCTGCAAGTATATTCAAGTTTCTCCAAATCTCACTGTTTTCAGTACAGGCACATACCTTGAAGCAAAATATGTAAATCTCATCCCTGTTGTTTTATGTCAGTGACAGAATTTTACTCCTGCTAAGATTACTTCTACTGTGACATGAAACTGTGTGACAAAGTAAATTAATATAGCAAGAAAGTCAAAAGTGTCCATGCAAAATGTGTTGACATACCTGCTCTGTCTTCTTAGCCTTTTCTTTCTGTCTTTGCTTATTTGTTGTGTTTCTTCCTGTGACCTGTTTTGGTCACTCTCAAATAAAAAACTGCATTTACAATAGGGTTTTTTTTTTCAAATTTATGCCAACTAATAATTTCAGGCAGAAATTGAACCTTGTCAGGACTGGCTGATTCTTGCAGCTTGTTGGACTTGAGTTCCAGACACAAATACAAGGAAAATATTTAACAGTACTTAGAAAATTGTTTTAGTAGTAGGTACATGAATTGGAGACTAACACAGTGAAGTTATGTAAAGCCCACAGTAACTTCATGATCATGAGTATTTACACAAGCTGACTAATCCAGAGAGCTTTCACCAGCCAGCCACAGAAACACACAGCTGCTGTGGCTGGTTCCTGCAGGGTTTGTCTTGTGAACTTGGAATCTTTGCCACACTCTTGTAATCACTCCAGCAGTAATTTCAGACAAACTGCTCATGAGGTGACAGCTTCAAAGCACAAAAGAAGCTTCAATCCTTGAGTCAAAAAAGCATTTTCTTTCTTTTCTCTAAGGGCTAAGTACTCTGCAAGTTCTTGACTATGAATAGCTCACCATGCCTTCTAACCCAGGCTCTGCAGTGCCTGTGGGCTGGCCCCATGAAACCATCCCCACACTGTTCTGCCACTCACTCACTGACCCTACTGCTATTCTCAGTGGGGTGCTGTTAGCCCAGGCCTGGTCATATATTGGACAAATCCCTCTTATTTTTGTGTATGTGTGAATGTATTCACAAATATATTCTCTGTTATTTAGTTAAAGAACAGCAGAATATGTTTATGTGAATATAACTGTCTGTGTGATATCTGAATATCTCAGTGCTCTTTGAGATCATACTTAGGCCAGTTTGTCAAAATTTGGGGGAAATCTCTCCCTTTGCATCATTTCAGCAATTAAATGCTTCATCCTTGTATTTGTTTTCTTTTGGGAGTGTAACATAAACTTGGGTGCAATTGAGCCTCTGTGAGGTCCTGCTTTACACATGGAAACCAAATTAAATGGATCTATGAGCCAGCATTTATCCACTTGGGACAGATTAGACTACAGGGTAACTGCTGTGTACAGCCCATATAATGTGTTCATCTGCACAGAAGTCTCCCAAATTGTTTAAAGCTCCTACACCAGCTGTATTTTGAGATCCAGCTGAGAAGCCTCAATTTAGTGTCTATCAGGAACTGAATCCAAACTTGCATTTCATATCAAAGCATGTCACCCTATAACACTTCTGTCATTCATTCAAGTCTTGCAAATTTCTGTTTCCCCAGATAAAAATAAATATAATATTCTTGTATTTGTAAAACTACACAAATAAAAAATAAAAAAGAAGCAAACCAAAAAACCAACCAATTAAACAAACAAAATAGCCTAAACTCCTACTTTACCTTGATTGGAAAAAGTGATCTTAAGACTGGGCTTGTAAATGTTCTTGATATTTTTGTAGGGTTGCATGGTAGCATATGGGGCTTAGAATTCCAGTCTCAGGATCCATCAGTGCTTAACATTTAACAAGAAGCTGACATTTGTCAGTCACATCTATTGTAAGTTTACACAGTGTATTACCCCCAGCTATCTATGTGAAGAGGATGGACACTGTATTAACAGCTCTCCATGTCTCCAGGTACTTTGAATCCCTTTCCTCCCACTCCATTCTCCTATCAGGCAATGAGCTCAGGTCAGACTCACCTCAGTGTTCCAGTCTGGCAGTCTGCGTTTAGAGGCAGAAAATCTGAATCTTCTCACTGCTGACCTTATTGTTTCACAGACTATTGATTGCAAGTCATCAGGTTTCAGCAGTTCAAAGGGATCAGCCTCTGGAAAAGAAAAGCAGAAAGAAGGAATGAACCCATACACAGGACCAGAGCTCAATTGGAACTGAACTGACAAACATGTGACTGATGTAATGTAATGTGGAGATATAGAAGTGAAAAGAGTCTCTCTTATCTCTCATGTGCAGCCAGAAGTTTGCAGCACACCAGTGAGCCCACGTGGCCTGCAGGGAAGGGAATGCTGGCAAGGACCACAGCAAAGGCTGAGCAGGACAGGTGTCCACCTCCAAGGGCTCCAAACGGAGCACAAGTTCTGTGCTTCTCCCTGTGGACCCATGTTCACCTTATGCTTTGGTGCAGAGAGAACAAGAGGCACCCCCTGAAGCAGAGCCAGGGAGGAGAATGCTGTGAGTGTGTGTGAACACATCCTCCACATCCTCAGCCAGAGCCATCCCTTTTCTCATCTCACAATCAGGTAAGTCCCTGCAGACATCCAGCAAAGAACTCACTTCACCTCACCAGCACCCTTCAGCTCTCCCTAGAAAACTTTTCATATCCACAAAAGGGTAAATGAAGCTAAATTTCTAAATTTATGTATAACTTATGAAGGTTTAGACTAACATTCATAGTTTTGAGAAGTATACCTTGCTGGATTTATTAACAACTGCTTTTCTTCTACTAATCTTAATAATTTGTGATATTGATGCAGTAAGAAGAACTTGGAGACATCAGTGATGGTACTTGGATTCAAATCTAATATCATTTGATATTAGACTCACCAGGGCTTTAGAACTCGAGTTAGGCTGTGAATTTCAAGTGTATTTTTTGATAAACTATTTGCAAAAGAGTTGTATTCCAAATGTTTGCTCATTTAATTAGAACATAAAAGATTTTTCTCTCTGACTGGAGCTTGCATCTGACCCTTCTTGCCTGTGTGTGGTTGGTATTGTTCTTGGCTAATGAGATAAAGGATATGTACTAAACATTTACACATTAAAGGCATCCTTCATTCAGCATGAAGGTGTTGATACATCAAGGATACCTCAAACATGCTGAGATTCCAACAACTTGTCAGACAAATTAGCACCTTACCAATTGGGGGTAAAATTGAGTTTCACATTTCTCCCTGGTGGGAAGAAAAAAATCAAAAATCACTGTAGTTTAATACTTTCTTTGCAAATAGGAACACAAAAGACTTTATCACCTCTGTAGTGTAAATTATAGCCCTCACCAACTATCTGATTTTTAATTCATTGGTTTTAAATGATCCCAGGCAGCTCAGAGCAAATCCATTGTGTTATTCCTCTCTTAGAGCAGACATCTTCCCTCTTTTAAGTCCATATCTTTCACAATTATTTAAAATTTACACTTCTATATTACAATGGAAGAAATTAAGGTCTCAAATCTGTATGTTTCACTAGCATATAGCTGCCAGTGGGGGGTTAACCCAAATTCTAAGGAGTGTGTGGAATTATGGGACTATGTACAGCAGTGAAACTAAAAAGGTCAAATTTTTAATTTCTTTTTTTCACCTTACTAGTGCTTACAATTAGTGCTCGGAGCTTCAGATTGCTGGCACTCTGCATGAGACATTCAGCCCCAGAAAAACCCACTGTCAGATGATCCAGCCTAAGCAGGTATCCCAAAGGAATAAGTGGGCTGGGAGTAGGTGCTGTAGACATTACAACAGGATCCAATTACTATTCTTTATCTCTAAGCTGCAACTCATTTATATCCAGGGAAGATCGTGGCATAAATTCCTGCCTGCACAAGATTTGGGAAGAGGGGCTTACTGCCATAAACCTCTAAAACAGGAATTATTTAAGCATTACAAGGGCTTGCTTTAACTTACATACCTGACCATGACCCAATCACAAACATGTATTTTCTAAGATTATGAGGTCAGCCAAACAAAATAGAATCAAAGCAAGACAGAGCCTAAAGTTTTATAGAGATAGTTACAAAACAAAGTTTCCCTTCAGCAATGTCTTCATTCTCAAAAATCTCAAATTTAACAGATTTTTTTCTATATATACACAGGATAGACATTTGAGGAGGATTTGCCTGGTTAAAGCTGCTTTTAACTCCATTCAGAAGGAAGCTGCATGACAAGAATTTTATTATCAGCCCTTCTAATTTGTCATTAAACCCTAATACCTAAACAAGACACACATACATCTCTGCCCACACCTGGTTATCTGCTCCATGGGACTCTTATCCTGTGGCCACAGTTTCTCCTTTATTGGGTCAGGACACGTTAACTGGTGTTCTGTGTGCAATCATCATTGTTCAAAGATTCAGAATCATATTAAACTCATTATGGAATAACTGCCTGGGAAAAGACTGTTACCAGAAGCAAGTGTTTAATTCTGAGCTGCCCCTTCCTTCTCTGCAGGTATGTTTTTCAGAGTTCACAGCACAAAAAGCAAGTAGAGCTGTTAGTGCTCAGCGTCCATAACCCGGCAGACAAGAGCTGCTGAAGCACAGAAATGGGATTGAATGCTGACAGTTTGGGCATTGCACAGGTATGTCGGATTTGTAAACCAGATTCTTATACAAAGAACTTCCTATAAATATCTGGAGAAAACCAGAGTTCATGTTCGTGTGGAACATAGAGCAGTGCCCCTGCTCAATAACACATATCAATACACAAATAACTCATATCAGATACATTAAAAAACTTGCACAGTTTTTTGTCTTGAGGTGAAAAAGTTTCCCAAACAAAAAGATGCAGAATCTTCAAATCCTTAAAAGTGACATTTTTCCCATACATATAGTGACATGATTTATAAATATGTAATTAAAAGGATCATAAATCTGTAGATAAGTGTTGGTATTTGACTGAAACACTAATGGCAAGCATTAACTGCATGTGGTCTGTTGTGTGGCTACTGGAATCAAGTAGTGAAGAGGATCACAGTTCCTTATTAGTTAGGACCACCTAGAGTGATGGAAAGCTTGAATGATCAAAGAGAAGACAGTTTTATGCTGCAAATGCTGATATACTCCTGGCTTTCTAACTAATTTTAAGGTCCAGTGTGAACATTTGACATGTTAACTACTGAGCAGGGAAATGAGTTTAATAGTAGATTACAAAAGTTTTGTTTGCTTCAAAGATAAGTGAATAATATTGTGTTATATTCCTGTCCCTATTGGATCACAAAATAGTTTTGTATTACTACCAGAGTTCAACAGCTTATTTTTGCCTACCTTAAGCAAGACTAAATTAGCCTTTCTTGCTAATAACAGCACATGAAAGAATCTATCCTGCTTTGTCTGAATATTCACAGTGATCACTGCTTAATTAGAGTAAAAAAATTTCATTACTTAATTTATTTGTAGAAACCAGACGAATCCAGAGTGATTGTTCACTTTTCATAACTTAGTCATGCAGTCCCAAGGAACTGTTTCTGTCTTGTTTGAATGGCTGAAATGTTTCAGAGAGAAGGAATGTGTCTTTGCAGTATTGTTGGTCATGAAAACCTGCACCTCATGAAGGTATAGTTCTTCCTTGAAACACATTTGTGAACAAAAGCCTTTTCCCATGAGTGTAAATGCTAACAAAAAAACATGACTGAAACAAGCTCTGCTTTGGAACTAATGCAACACTGAAGAGTGAGAATTGTCTTGCAGAATTCAAGTGGCTCTAAATTCTGTAAGCACAGCTTCAATTTATTCACATATATCAGAAATTATGTTGTTTGTTGCTGTTTAGACTCCAGCCCTGAGGCTGTTCAGATTATGGCTTTTGATTCTGGGATTCATCAAATAAAATCTCCTCTGGATATAGAAAAGCCTTCTCATTCAAGCGACAGGTGCTGGAAAGTAGTGTCTGTTAAGAAACCTGAACACTGATTTTAAATTCTATCTCAGAAAAAAACCCTTAACTTCTGATTGAATAAGAGTAGTGATCTCCTATGAGAGAGTTTTCACTTACCATAACTGAAGGATACAAGCAGGAGACACATGCAGTAAAATAACAACCTGATGCTTGCTCTGAGGATGAGTTTTAAGAAAAAGTTTTACCCTCCTCATATATCAAAGCTCTTCATAACTCTTGACCAGATAACCTTTAAATTCTCTAAAATCACCAGAGTTTTAAGGTGTCAAGCACCTTGGTATAGCAGGTACAATTGTTTTAATATTTAATACGTTTATGTTTGTTATTTATACAACATATAAATACTTACTATTAATTAACCATGGAATATATTTAATGTTTTCTCACTAAATAAACAACATACACCAGCTGGAAAAAATATTCCCAGATATTATATTTGCTTTCTTTGAGGCCTGCAACCAAGTAGATAGTTCTCAAAATAAAATGGACAAGTGCCTAATCAGAAAAGTTGCCCCTCCCTCCTTGCCAGTATCTAAAATCTATTTTCTCACTCCGAAAATGTCAGGACGGCTCCGTTGCAACATCTTGACAGAAGTTGCAGAGACCAGAGCTGTCTGCATGGTCATGTGCTCCTCTACAAAGTCAGTATCACTTCACAAAATCCTTGAGCTTGGTGTAAAGATGCCCCAATCTCACTGGAGTTTGCTTTTTCAGACCACTTAATCCAGTACAAAACTACTAGAGAATCAGGAACAACACCCAAATTCTGCACTTTTGAAGGCACAGTGATCGGTTTGAAATTGTTGAATTTCAATGAAAAGAATGAAAAGAAAATACGAGAATCAGGAACAACACCCAAATTCTGCACTTTTGAAGGCACAGTGATCGGTTTGAAATTCAACTAGAAAAGAAAATATCCATGTTCAGATTTGAGGAATTAATTTAACCTTTTTGAAGAAATAGGAGGCTGGGGCTGTCAACTTTGAACCATCCCCATGTTTAAGGTTCAGACCTCATTAGTTTTGGCTAGGAATACTCTCTAATTACTAAGAGAGTTTCCTCAAGTTGCACTTTAGAAATTCATCTTTTTTGTAAGCTGTAAAGTATTCATAAAAAGCTAAAAACTGTGGGAAAATTAGCATTGATGGATGTTTTCTTACCCTCCATCAGGAAATGATGTACTTGAAACTCATTACAGATCTTCACAGCAACTCTGCTGAATGTGCCTTGGGCTTTGTGCTGATCAGCACACAGAATTTGCTGCATAATTCATCTCTCTTGTGTCACATTTAATGTATAACATGTATTTCCTGTTAATTATGAAAATAAGAAGGCGTCCTTTCTTTTGGAAACATAATCATGAAATTACTACAGAAATTAAGAAACGTGGAGTTCTATATTACCTCCTGCACAGAAATAGGAGGAAAGCACTGCATTGAGAACTCACCAGATATTATTTTCTTCTTGATGCACCAGGCACAGCCTCTCCCTGTGGCCACACAAGGAGAGATGCATGGATGGAATCCCTGTTGTCCTGCCAGGGTCACCATTCTCACTGGAGCTGTGGTTTTGCATGTGGTCCCCTTAACTTTCGTCCACTGAGAGAGGTTTGGATGTTTTCATATCTCTTTTCATGGATGTCAATGAAACATTAGGCATCCTGTATCTCATTTTCCTCATTCAAGGTTGAAGATTATTCAGTAATATTCTACTTCACTTCACCCATCCATCTCTACGTGTCTGTTCAGCTTCCCTTACTAAAAGAATGAAGAAACAAAAATCCCATCTCAGCATCATATCCACACCAATACATCTTATAGATTATGTATCATCTGCCATCAGGGTAGGAGAGGGAAAGAGTGAAGTGATGGAGCAGGAGAAGGAAAGGAGCAACACCATAAATCTGAAAACATACCATTATTATTTGGAATAAGAAGGGGGCTCATCTGTACTCAATGGTACATTTGGCCTACACATTTTCATTGACACATTGATTATTTCCCTTTGGAGAAACAATCTGGTGCTGGGATTATTTGCTCAGGAAAGTTTGATGGGGCCCTTGGAGACCACATATTATCTCTCACTTATGGGGCAGTCCCATAATGCTCCATTTTCAGAAACTTTCAGATGATATTCCCTTTTGTCTCCTGCCCACATGAAAATCTTCATTCATAATTGTTAGGATCAGTAGAGCTGACAAGCTGCCTAGAGCAATATAAAGTTGTGGTATCAGTAATAGTGCTGGTGATCTCTAGAGAGACAAATGAGTCTGGATAAAAAGACATATTATCAGTATTAGCTTTCAGGAACCAGGATAAATTTCCATTTCCCCACCTGAAGAGATACTTGGGGCAGAACCCCACTAAAACAACCCTGCAGGACAAGAGTACAGCTTTGGTAGCTTCTTCTCCAGAAAATCTTAACTTCACTGCTCTTTATACAGGTATGAATAATTTTACTGCCAGAGTTGGTGGTTAAAGTGATCTGGCTGTTAAAAAAAAAATGGCCTGAGGGGAGATTTCATTCTGACACAGCTGATCTCTCTAAGAAACAAAAACAGCCTTGGCAGGAAGAATTTAGGTGTTTTCAACCTTCTCCTTCAGGGTGGCATTTAAAATCATGTGAGAAAACAGTACGCTTAGCACTAGTTATTGCAGTATCTGAATTTCTCATGGCATACTTAAACATCAATTCCTAGAGTCACATGGCTGTAAAATCAGCCAGTGCTAATTTTTTTTAAATACTCTATTCATGACTGTGGGAAAAATTTAGGAAATTACTTCTAAAACAACAAAGCCAAGAAGACTAGACATACCAAATTTACTCACCAAACTAGAAAATCATGGCTTTGAAGTCAATCTCATGATTTCTAGACACTTAAAACATATTTTATTGAAGTTTGGGATTGCAGTGCTGCAATTTTTGGGACATAACTTTTACTACTTCAAACCCAAACATACCTCTTACAAATCAGTGGTATAAGCAGTCACTTCTGCCTTCCCAGAGGGCTGGACAATGCCTCTTCAGCCAATTTAGAAGGTGAAGATGCAAAATGTTTCAGAATAATGTAGGCAAACATGAAACAACCTGTAAAGAGAAAATATAATGAAATATTCTTTTATAAAATGCAGGGGTATAATATCATCATCTTACAATAGAAGCTGTTCCCATCACCTTAGCATTTCACCTCAGGGCAAGTTCATAGATTTCTCTTTTTTTCAAGGTATTGATTCTTTTGTGTATCCGAATTGAGATTTAATTTTTTTTTTTTTTCACTTTTACCTCTCAGGTTAGGAGCCTTACTTCAGAACAGCACATTTTATCATTACATACTGAATTATTTTACATTTTTTGGATTCTTAACAATATTTGGCCATGAAAGTTTATTTTGTAAATTTTATCTATTGAAAGTTGGTTTAAAACATTAGAAAAAAAACCCTATAGAGTTATTAAGACACATGCCATGCTATAGGTCCATATGCTCAAAATGTTCACAGTTTTTCCTTCCAAACCCACATATTTCACTAAGCCTTGTCTTGTTCTATTTCTCACCCTTGGGTTTCTTTCACTCTTCACTGGCATAAACAGAGAGACTGATATTCTTTGAAAATATATCTGTGCAGATCATTTGTTCTTGAGGTACAATATCTTATTTACAAGAACATTTTATATAAGAACTGAATTATTGATAGACAGCCTTAACATAACATCTAGGGCAAAATATTGTTGCTATGTTAAACTGTATTGTATTACTTTCAGGTCAAGTGATGGAATAGTTTGATCTTTGTAGCTTTGATCACAGATTCAGAAAATGCGACAAATCAAATTGAATCTGTCAGATCAAAATGTGCATCTTCTTAGTTTTGCTGAAGAAAGACTCCACCAAGTTCTAAACTTAAGAGGGGAAAAAAAGAGTCTGTTCTCTCTGTAGAAATAAGGCAGCTCTTTATGCCCCAGTCTTTTAAAGCTGGGAACTCCTGGCCAATAGAATTATATTGCTCTAAAAGCACATAACAAAGTTCCTACATAATGAATGCAGAAGGGAATTTTAAATACCATTTGTATGAAGGCTTCTCAAAAATAAAATTTTTTTAACATTCTCCAAAATTTCTGACAGTACACTTAACAGCCTTATTGCAGACAGACACACTCAGAAGGTACACAACCTCAAAGAATACCAAACAGCATTTCCCAGATGTGTTATCCCAGGTCTCCTAAGCCCCCATGCTCCCTCCTGGCTCTAATTTAAAATTTCCATTGATAATCGCTATTGAGAAGAATTAAGCCCATGGCCTGATTCTGAAGCCATGCAAGGTTTAAGTCTGGCCTTTTATCTGGAACAAATATCCATAAGTTTAATGGTGCTGGGTCAGACCACAGAGCCATGTCCTGGATCCAACAGTAACAGTTCAACACCATGGAAATACCTATGGAAAGGACCTTTCTTATGTCAGCTGAGGATGAGTCAAAACTATCCCTAGCACCCAGTGCTGTAATTTGCCTTAGCCACTCATAAAGCATTGCTAAGATTATTCACACAATTTTCTCCTCAAATTATTTGTCAGGCTATTAAAAACAATAAACCACTATAAAGAATTGAATTTTGCCAGATTTTCTCAACTCATCAAAGGGCACTTCTCCTGAATGTACAACTAGGCTTTATATGATGGAGTTTTGGCACAATTGTTTCATAGAACTTATAGTAAAGCAAATCTTCCACATCCTCAACATCTCACCTTGACTCTAGAGACTCCTCAAACCAAAGCTCCTCCTAAGTTAATTTAGTTGTTTTCACTCCATATCACACTTCATTGCCTTTATGCTTCTCTAAAGAATGACAAAATGATGTGGAGGAAGCCAATTGCTGATACCTGAAAAGGCTGCCTCAGTAGGGGTGGGATTTATTTCCATAACAAACAGAGAACCACTGAGCAACTATTTCAGCATCCTTTACTCAAAGGAGGAATACTACCAGAGGGTTGGATAAGAGGGAATCCCAATTTCAGTATCAAAATATTTAACCATAAATTAATGTCTCCTGTGCCAGACTTGTCCTTTCTCTCAGAACTGCACATCACTGTGCATCATGGAAATGAAACAGCAGATGTTTCCAAATATAGAGGCAGAGCCATTGTGCTTTCAGCTGTCTTCCTGGACTGCAGACATACATTATAACTGTAGGCAGAAAACCTTCTAAAATATCTGACAAAATTGGGGAGGAGGTCTAAAATGTTAAATAATGAGCATATTCAAAATATTTATAGCTGATATGTGAAAGATGCGAAGCAGGGAAGGTGGAACTGTTAGTAACATCATTCCTGCAGCACGCCCTTTTAGATAAATGCCTGTAGAGAGTCCAGCTGGACGTCTGCAGAGGAATTTGACACTGACATCCCTGGTAGTCATTCAGTGGGTGCTGGCTGATGAAAGATACTGAGTGCTTAGAGTAAGAATCCTGTTGAAAACCCATGGCAGCTTTAAAAACAAAACCAGGTAGTGGTTTCCAAAAAGGAACCAAATATATTGTGAACTTGATACTCCTCTCAATTTATAGTCCATCTTTAATCTGTGAACCCACCCACAAAACAATTGCTAGTTGATTTTCATTCTATGTCTTGCTGAAAGAGAAAAGGCAATTGGTGATATGATGCACTTTTACTGTTAGAAATATCTGTGCCATTTGGAAGTGATGGAGGGATGGTATGAGCTGGTTGTTTAGAACTGTCACTCTTCAACATACACCATATTAAGATTAATTTTTAGTTAGAAGAATTTGTTATAAAAGATACATTATGTTTACCCATTTTGTTTGGAATGTACATGACAAAGAATAAGTTCTCTAAGATCCATGATGACAGTAACTAAAAAGAAAAGTATTAGAATTGAAAATGCACCCAACCTCAGAATTTGCATGGATACAAAACTCAACATCCCCAGGATTTCTAAAACATCTCTGGATGTCTCTGGAGTTCCCTGAGCTGTTATTTTCACCAAGTTTTGAAGTCAGATGACAATCTCATTATTCCAATCCAATTAGTGTAATCTCCTCACTTTCCAGTAGGACAACAGCCACTAGGAGATACCTTTTACTGTATCCCAGAGCATATTGAGAAACAGTGAATATTAAATAAACTCCAGGATGGTCTTGTGTAGGGACTGAAAAGACAAGTTCAGAGTAATTGTAACTGCAAAATGTCAATATCTTATTGATGTTAGATAATTATGCAGACATGGTATACGGAAAAAAAAATCTGTGGAATGCTCAGGATTGTTGTTTCACTTAAGCGAGAAGACAATACCACCATGGTGTGGAGGATCATAATCTCTTGCCATTTATGCATACATCTGCTTATTTATCAAAATTAGATATATTTCCTCTCATTTATAATTTGTTTATCTTATTTGGAATTTCAGAAACAGGAAAGCCTTTTGCTCTTCTTGGGTTTGTTGTGCTCATTTCACAATGAAGATTTAGTTTTTATTTAAACTGGATGGCCCAATATATTCAGTTCAGCTGCTAGATTGACTGTCACTGAGTTGTCAAATGCCTGTTATGAATAGTATACAGAAGGAGAGCAAGTTGACCTTGAACTTGCTAAATGCTTTATGAATACTACCCATTTCCAGAAAAATGTGAATCTGTTTTCCAGATTTGCTCTTTTTGCTTTCCTTAAGGCTGTTCTCAGTAACAAATGCCTTTCATCTTAGTGAGCTGCTTGTAACATGGAAGGTTTGGGAAGGGGAAAACAACATTCTAATGATGAATTTAATACTTGGGGATTGTAGAGGATTGATTATATTTCAAAATGAATTCCTGGACTTAGCCAAAGGCTATTAAGAATATTGTGGCTATAATGCCAGCCTTGCTTCCTAAAACCTGTCAAATTTTGGGTTATAGTTTTTCATTGCTAGCCTGATTTGGTCTTGGTGACTTTTAATTGCTATTTTCATTGCTAAGCAAAGTCAGAGTGGATTTTGCTATTTGAATACAATAAATAAAAACAATCATGTTTTGATCTGTCCACAAGCCCATGCCTTGTTTCCAAAGCTAAGAACGGGACCTTAGCGCCTCCAGCTGGCGTTGGAAACACGGAATCCTTGTGTATACACCAAAGAACACAACAGGAAAGGGGGGCACTTGGTGCTGTGGGATCCAGGTTGTAACCAGCAGAGAAGCACTCTAAATAGAATTAATTTAAGACACTATGTTCAGTACTGGATTTTGATCAAATACTTCAAAAGTAAAAAAATAGCAGCTAATTTACTCTGCCATGAAATACATTGGTTCCTTTTCAAAAGCTACTTTCAGCTCTTTCAGAATTTGTGGGCAAAGTGGTTTCTAGCTAATACATAGTTTTAAATGCTGTTTTGAAAGCCTCTTGCATGATAGAGTTCATAGCAACAGCTTCTGCTACTGCTTTAAGAGCACAATAAGGTTTAATAAGAAGGATGCACTTCAGTTCATAGATTGCTTGTTTTCTGCTTTACTTTAGTCATCATAATCTTTACCCACGCTTAGTTAAAAAAAAAAAGAAATCTGAAATAAAAAAGGCAGCTACCAGTATTGATCTTCTCTACTCCACAGCAGGTTCCCTTGATCTGGATCGAACCTGTCTCTGTCAGTAACAGCTTTTTCAGGAGACAGTTCTATTTAAAATGTTTCACAGGGCATCTAGTTATTTGTTCATTTGTTAGGAATGGTGGAAGAGACTATAATAGACAAGCAGCCTCAGCTGGCTGCTGGATGTAAGACTAGATCCGGTCATACCACAAAGACAGAATAAGTATATATTTTCTGTGCTCTGTGGAAAATAGATTTATGATACATCTTGACCTAAAACTTATTAAAAAACCCATTATCAATATTAATTGAAATGTAAAATTTCCTTAGGAATTTCATTGCAAACATTTTTCCTCTAATATTGTTTTTGATGTTAAGAATGAGAGGTGAGTGGCATGGGCTGCAGTATGGTACACATGGCAGCTATCAATTCCGTGCTGCAAGATCTGCTTTCCAGCTGAATGTAAACGGAAATGCTTTCCTGCAGAGCATGTGCCCCATCACCTGTACCACCCACCCATGCAAA